TTCCTAATGACCATAGGCCGTACATCGAGTATATAACCAAAAAATATTAAGTAGAAAGTAAAAGAAATAATAATAAAGATAAATATAAATTACCCCGATTACTTGATGCGTAAAATGGAATATTTTGTCCATAGAGATTTACACCATAAAATCGATAAATCGAATCGACTATTTTGTATCTCGCGTCAATACGAGTGTAATGCACCTTACATGCGGGTCGTTTTCATTTTATTTTGAGCTTTGCGTGATGTTAGAGTAATTGGTCAAATTTCGTTTCGTTGCAGTTGATTTTATGGTTTGTTGTTGACTTTTTATTTGGTTGTTGTTGATTTTTATTTTTTGTATAGTTTACTAGGTAAGTTAATAACATAATAATTGCATTTTATCTATTTTGTTTACTATTTGTTCTAAAATTATTTGCCGTAAATTGTTTCTGTCTTCGTCACAAATGATCTCGATAAGATATTTAAACCGATTTTTTTCATTCGATTTCACATCACTCATCCCTAGAAACTTCAAATCTCAAACGTCACCAGAATCATGTTATTTGAAACGAATTATTACAGTACTTTGTTGGTAGGTTAATGAGTACTCGTGTATAAATAAAGCTACATTACTTGGATGTTAATTTGATACTAAATGACATAATTGATAGACGCTCGGAGAGGTATAATAAATATGAACGACTGAAGTGACTGCTCAATGACAATTAATTTATTAATTATTAAAATTTATGCTTCAAGACGTGTATGAGCTATATTTATAAAAATATGCACTACTAATCGCCATGTTGGAATTTTATCACAAGAGCGAGTAATAGCACATGCGGTAGTGTAAAGTCTATGAAGCACCGCGCGCAGTGCGACTTTATATCGCCGTGCTGAGTATGGCTACAAAATGAGTTACTCTTGCGTCAGCTTTTTCTGCGCTATTCCCTCTCTCATAAATATTGAGCGGGATAGCCGTTTACAAACCAGAAATTTATATTTTAATTTAAATATTATTTTATTTGAAAAAACAAATACACGCGATTTCGGAATTATCGACGATTAATTTTCATTCATTGCAATTGTCGTCAAAAGTCTTTTTAAGAGCCAGTGCCAATCGTCCGACGGAGCGGCAGACCATTGAAGAGGATTATTGAGAGATATCCCTTACGACACCGCGAGTGTCCGTCAGCGTACCGCAAAATCCACTGAAATGCGGTATTTGCTTTCATGCCACCGGTCGATCGGAATTGATTTCGTTCCATCAGCGAGTAAGCAGTCAAAAAGACCCCGGCGCATTCAGGCAGACTCTGGCGCACACCGGTGGAATCTGGTGCAAACTGGATTTTTACCGTCACATATCTGCGGGAACCTCTCGCCGCGGTATCCTCTAGCGTGCTCTTCAATAGAGAAATACGCTACGATAGTCCGAGCTCGGTCTCAAAGCATTTAAATTTATGTCTAATTTCAATTGAAATGGCATAAAATAAATATTGATAAATTTAATCTTCCTGTGCCCTTCCATCTGCCGGTCTGCGTCGGCCCAAGTTTCGGACTATCGACAGTGTTTTAGAGTTGATAATTAAGTAACCAAGAAAAATACGTAATCTTAATACGTAAACCTTCAAAATATATCATTATCATCCAATATCAAATGAACAAATGATAAAACATTTTACTAGTGCTACAGAACTGTTACTGGTTTAATAATGAACAAAAAGAAAAAAACTCAGTGATTGTATCATCTAATTTTTCTATATAAAATAGTAAACGGTAAATATAGACTCTGCTTCATTACTAAAATTGATTACTAAAATTGATTTACCAATTTTAGTAATGAATTTTAAATTGATTGCCCAAGAAACTACTCTCGTTTCAAAATTACTTAACTAACAATGTTTTATAGATCACGCCTAAAACACATTTATCAGACACTCGAGTGGGTATTTATTACAACAAATTGAAAGACGTCAGTGTTTTTTTCTTTATCGTTTGTGAATTACAAGCAAGAAGCGGTAGATATTGTATTTTACAGAGGACCCCCAAGGACAAATTAAAATATAAGCTATAACCTGTGTGACAGGTGGTGTAACTTTCTATCTTTACATTATTTATCTTTTTTTTATTATCTAATATTTGCACTGATTTAATGGAACAATCTGGTGGGTTAGTAATTTAATGTACTTTTTTATAAGACTTGTACAAGTCTGTATATTTTGTACAGTGTATGCCAGCTAGGCAAAATAAATGATATCATGCTACGATGGCTGCTGGAATGTCGACCGACAGTTGTATTTGTTATGTGCACTTGCACGTATACAGAACATTGGGTTTATTAACATTATATGATTAGTTAGCCATTTTTATTTATACTATACAAAAAATAGTTAAGAAAAACAACTTCTACAATTCTAAAAGAATGAAATTGTAACTTAAAATCTAAAAAATGATTTAAGTTGTAAATGTAGAAAATACTTACGCGACTGGTAAAATCAAATGCAACGTGTTTTTCTCCTTGTTGTACAGTTACGGTGTATTTGTCAGAATATGAAGCTCTGGGCATGCCACCTGAATTTATACAAAATTATGTTGTGGTTTACTAGCCAGTTAATTATGCCAATGGCATCGAAGCACACAAATATTGAACCAACATGTCGGATTGATAATAATAGTGAGACGAGATAAATATCCTTTTCAATTATCTTTCCATTGCACGACTCGTTGATGAAATCCAATCATATTGTTTATTATTTCTTTTGGAGAAATAGTTGAACGCCTGAAACACTTACCGGCATAAATAGTGACCTCTTCACCGTCAATGCTGGTGCGAATAAGAATTTTGTTTATTGCTTTGCAAGGGTATGGCCCGTACGGAGTCACTGGTTCCTTCAAAGGACGGTCACTGGCTGCCCCGGCTACCTCCCACGTCACGTACGACCCGTCGTTGTGAGACGATGTGAAGTGTTCTCCTGGAATTTGTTTAGTTAGTTTTAGTACTTATATAAAATCTTTTTATTCTGAACGATTAAAAGAAAATAATATCCAATACTACGTATTTTGAATTTATAAAATATGAGTATATGTCACGCTTTGGGATTTATGCATTTCAACAAAGGAATACTGTAACTATTAAGTATTCTGTGATACTGTTTATTGGGCGTTTTTACCAAAGTACATGTAACGTTTATATCTATATCGGTTCACATAAAATTAATTCATCTTCAAATTTTATTGTTTAATACAAATTGTTTCTTTATCACATTTCATAATTCTGTTTAAATTCAAAATTAATAGCCAAAGTTACCCATAACATTATTATGACAAATGTATCTATGGAGATTATCGTCGCCTTACTTTCTCAAGTTCGTATCATAAAGCACAAAATAACTGAAATGCAAAAAATGCTGAATTATCACTCCTTACAAGATACGAGTTTGAGAAAGTAAGGCGCCGATGTACAAGTTTTACTTATAATACAATTTATTACCAAGCTAGAAGAGCTAGGACGACGTATGACGATAAATAAAACGTTACGATATAATGAGATCGCGCCCTAAATCAGATCAGTGATTCCCGGTGACGTTGTTACGGGGAAGAGGAAAAAGCTTCATATTAGTCAACATACTTAATATTTAACAACATGAAGAACTTAATATTTAGAAACATGATTTTCCTTTCCTTAATAATATTTCGATTCAGCCGATTTAGTTACTGTTGTGAACTAACCTAGCAGAAAGGTAATCTTTCGTACCGTGATCGAGTTGGCTAGTGCCTGAACCTTTAGGAAATAGATGACTACGATTCTCATCAATACACTAACTAAAGCTGATTTTTAGAAGCCATAACATGCTTGTCATTATCAAATTTCATAATATTAGTTTTATAAATAGTTATAAGCAAATTGTAATACTTATAAGTAGTTATGAGTCAGAAATAATGTATGTGACATAATATGAATAGGAATAATAAAAAACTAAGAATTGTCACGACAATACAAATTACGAATAAAGCCTTAGCAGTAAAGAGGTGTATGAGTGAGTAATTATTATGAGCAGTATTATTATGAAATTAAATTTTATGAGTTTCAATAATAGATCTAAAAATTTTAGGTGAATAATAATTAATAATAGCGCATCTCCAGTAACTTCTAACATAGTAACTCATGTTATCACTCACCGTCGTCATTCCAGCAAAGGCTCTCAAGTTGCTGGTTGGAAACGAACGTGTGTGTGGGCGCAGCGGTACCACGGTCCCATAACACCACCAGCCCACGGTTGTAACCAATTAGCACACGCAAAGGTACTTTCGGGTGCTCGCAGATGGACTCCACTGCGCCTGGATTCACTTTGAAGTCTTCTGGACAGCTGTTCCATAGTATGAAAAGAGTGGTTTAATGTGAGATTGCACATATGAAATTAATAAATTAAATTTTGAATTGTTGTTTCTAGAAAACATGAGTAGAATTAGAGGAAGCTGTATTAGTTTGCACAAAAATACAAATGATCAATTAAATGCGAAATCTATTTATAAAACTATTGTAATTGAAAGTGATTGTCTGATGAATGACGGTAAACTGAGTATCGTATTTCCTCGAGAAGACTACAATGAAACGAGGAAAATGTAATGTAATGAAATTAACTAACTTTTGCATGACGACATCCTGGTATATGACGTCATCTGTGATTGCGAAGGTAGTGAGGTCCAGCGAATAGATGTTGCCTCCTTCTGTGCCGAGTAGTAAGTGCTTGCCTGAAGATTCGACGCACATTGACGATACTTTCTTGTTCTTACCCTCAAATATGTATGATTTGAGTTCGACGAGTGATTTTTCGTTTATTTCCCAGAGATGGAGACTGTTGTCGTCGCATAGCGATATTAGACGACCCGTGCCTGAAAGCATAGTAAAATAAATCGCTTTCAACTGAAATGAGCAAAGCGATAGTAGACGCAAATACAATGCTCATTTTTAGACGGGAAATGATTTAACGTCTACGTATACAGTAAAAGTTGTAATAAAATATCTCTTTAACTTGATTTTTTCATTCACATTCTCTTTTTATACGCAAATAATGTAGGACTGTTAATTGATGTCTTACCGGGTATGAATTTAATCTGTATGATAGCGGCATCTGGGTTGGTGTGTTGGCCGTAGAATTCGACGCCAGGTCGGCCGTAAACTTTAAGTGCGCCAGTCGCTGTGCCTAGTGCGGCCAGCCTGAGTAGAGGGTCCCATGATAGGGCTGACGCTCTGTGGGGGAAGCCGTGCTGTACTGTCTATGGACAAGGCAAATTTAAACTATAAAAATATATTCGAAATAGTAGTTGACTCACGGTCTGCGTATTAGCGCTTTTCGTCGGATGTGAAAAAGTAGTAGCTTTCAAAGACTGATTGTAATGCTATCTACTAATAATAAAAATGTTCATCCTAATTTGTCAATACATCTTTTAGTGTAGCGCCACACCTGCCGAAATTTGGCGGCCTAATTTTGAAGCTGTCAGTTCTTTTACTGGATACTATTTCTAATAAATCTCTATATCAAAATAGCGATCTCATATTCAAAAACATTGGAAGGTACACTAATTACACTATTGAATTTCTATAGTGTAACTAACTTCTTTCACCTTTTTCTTCCTTATTTGATTTTATAGTCCCGCACTAGGGAAACCTTGTATCGCGGGTGCCATTGTCACACACATAAACACAAATTACACTCAAACTCACAAAAGACATAAATGTAGGCCACACAAATATATCTCCAGGCGCGGGAATCGAACCCGGGACCTCTGCGTGGCAGTCAAGCATGGCAATCGTGCGGCCACGGAGGCAATTGAAGCAAAACTCAATTTACTACGGACTAATTGAGATGCACAATTATTTAAGTCTTGATTTTGACGTACACGCTACAAAGTTACAGCTAGTGGAGTCCGTTCGTCCGAACGACGTCATAGACAATAATTAAATGCTAAAATAATCTTATTGTAATGGATTTGACATGTCGCATAATACAATCGCCTCCTGTCACGGAATGGTTCACCAAGTACACGAAAACGTGACGACTGGTGACTCATTCTTATGAGATAAATAATTCGCGTTATGTCACTACAGGTCATGCAGTGTAAAGATGGTTGTAACTAGTAATACCGTCACTGCGGGAAGTTGAGATAAGACAACAAAGAGTAAAAAGAAAGGCTCCATTTTGCAAGACACAAAAGATTAAAGTAGGACAACAGCCTGTCCAACTTTACACTTTAGTTATAAATTAAACCCTACGTCACTTACGATAAGCTGGTTTTAAGTGTAAAGCCCAGGGTGGTTCTCAGTATACAAGTCATTTTAATGCCTTGAATTTAAAATGGTGCCGAAACGACACACTTACTGTCAATTCGAATAAAAGTTTATTCTTATGTATTTTTTAAACACAGTGTTCTCTCAGTAGAGTTTGGACATGTGCCTTCATTATTTTACCTAGAATGAACCAGGTCTACAATTTTATAAGTGTAAGCAAAGACGTCACGTTTGGATTATCTTATTAATATGCAGCTTGGAATGTTTTTATAGATATATCAACCGCTAATATAGTACTTAATCACTAACATAATTACGTAAAGGTAAATAAAACCAGACATTTTAAATTTATAACTGTTATTAGATACGTGGGAATCAGTCACATATTCAACAAAACCTTTTGTGTGTCTGTAGTGTGTCACATGGTACAAACACTGTTTATTGTCTTTATGCTGTAATAATGAAAAAAAATGTTAATACTTAATAATTTACGTAAGTAAACTAGCACGACATTTGCAAACATTCATTTGCAGTTATAAATTTTACAGCGAGCTCTACATGTGGTCTAGATTTAAATTTTAAGAAAACACAAAGTGTATGAAGTAACCGTTTTATTTATAGTTGATAATTGTAACAAGTTTGAAATTTTGCAAACCCGTATAACAAGTAAATAGAAATAACTGCTAGTCGCGGTCAGTGTTTAATATACACGAAATCCTTTTATTATTTTGTCGTTATTCATAAACTTTGGAAAGAAAGAAATAATTTGTAATAAAGAAAGTAATTCTTGAGTAGTTTTCCATGTTTCACAATAACTAATTTCATATTTTCATCATTTCCCCTTATTAAAATACTATTATACGCGTTCTGTATAGTAATTTAAAGGAATGAATGGGGACTGAATTGTGGTGCTACAGTGCAATTTAAAATAACGTAATTGCATTTTCAAAACTGAATTACACATACCTGCTTTGCACATCCTGAACCTATGTGTATTAATTATATCACCATCCCAATCTTACGTTAACACATTCGTATAGCATTACTCGCAAGTATTTGCTTGACCAAATAACGGCGCTTTGGTAATTACCTTTTTGGACTATACATCACGGTCTCTCGCTCTAACATATCATCACAAGCACGTGCCGTGAAAGTTATGCAGACAATGGAAATAGTTCACAAAGAATTCTGATCAGTCTATAGCGTATTAAAAATGCCTTATGTCTTGAGGTGAAAGTATGGGAAATGTGAATAAAATTTTTGACTATAATGATAATGCAGATAAAACGCAAATGTGATTTTTATTTATTTATTTAAACTTTATTGTACAATACACTGAAGTACAAATGGCGGACTTAATGCCATAAGACATTCTCTACCAGTCAACCATTGGGCCAAACAGAAAAAAAAACACAATAGGTTGGTGCTACACTTAAACAAGAAGAAATAGAAATACTAGAAAACTAATCGATAATTTGTATGGTATAAATAAATAACATACAATAAACATACTTATTATACATACATAATAAACTTACATATATATATTATAATAATAAATAATATGATATACACACATCAAAAAAAGTTTGCGATCAATAGCATAAGCTCCTATAATTCTTTAAATTTAACTTTATCAAGAAAAAATCTATGTTGTATGCTTTCTTTAAATAGGAATACCCTGTTTGAAATTAAAATATAAAACTATTTTTTATTATTTATTTTAAAAAATTGAGCCATTAATCATAATGTAATAGTGATAGAAATTTCGTTGAAAGAAAAAGACTGTTTAATTAAACTTAAACAACAATTTATTATTAAAAGGTGTGAATTCAATATAAAATAACTCCTCCCCTGGCTCGAATACATGCGAAGATCCTCCTGGGCATGCTGAGGATCAAGTTATCCAGCATTTCCTGGGGTAACCTATCCCATTCTTCAATAGCGGCTTCCCTGAGCTTTGGAACTATCTGGGGACGTGGCTCACGGTTCCATACTGCTCGTTTAAGAGCATCCCACGCGTGCTCTATTGGGTTTAAGTCGGGCGAGCCGGCAGAACAGTCTAATCGTGTGATATCGTATTCTTGAAGAGCAGCATTGACTCGTTGAGCTCGATGTGCGGGCGCATTATCATCGACCAGTACAAATTGGTGCCCATGGTTTACTCGGAATGGTCTGACGATATCATCAATAGCAACTGCTTTGTACATGTCTGCTGTCATGAAGCCCCGATACGGGATCAAAGGCGTTCTAGCTCCAATCATAATGCCACCCCAAAAGGACACCGATTTTCCGCCTTGCTGAACTGTTCCTGTGGCAGTTCTTTGTCTTTCACGGTCGCCTGGTCTTCTCCAGACACGGACACGTCGGTTATCTGGATGAGTGCTGATTCGGGATTCGTCAACTAAGAGACAATTTTGCCAAATGTTTTCGTCCTCACCTTCTTCATTTTGCCGAAGTCTAAGTCCGAAGTCTCAGTAATTGCGAACGGTCTGCGTGCTAACTTCAAGCCCAGAGGCGGCCCTGACTTCTGCTTTTATTTTAGTGGTGTTGATTGTTGGATCACGGGCTGCCAGCAATCTAATATAGCGCTTTTGGGCAGCTGTCAAAACAGTTGGGCGACCGCTGCGGGGTCGGTCAGCTAAATTCCCCATTCCGTGATACCTCTGCAACGTAGCCACGACACAGGATTGGGATATAGCAAGTCTGCGTGCTATTACTCTCGTGGTGTATCCTTCTTCCCTCAAAGTTACTATTCTAGCTCGTAAAACCTCTGATAATCCTCTTGGCATTTTTTCAATCACAACTTTCCGCGAAAAATATCTTGAATCGCTTATAATTGACTAAATCAGATTTCTGAATGAGCGTAAGCTAGGACTGAAAGCCTTTTTATATGAAAAAACAATTGAACGGGGTCATTGTTTTATGTTCTAATTTATTTTTAAATAAAGAATCTAAAAAGAAGAAAAAATCATTATATAATCTACAGTAACAAAAAAGATTTCAGTTTTTCGAAGTGATCGCAAACTTTTTTTGATGTGTGTATGTACCCAAAGCAACATTAAACAGTGTCTTAATTTTGACTATTGTCAAACAGATGCTTGCGCAACATGCGCTTGAAAGATAATTTGGTCTGAGCTTGTCTTACATGGAGCGGGAGCGCGTTCCAAAGACGAATTGCATGAAGGGTAAAAGAATTAGACAAAAAATCAGTGCGATGAGAAGGAATGGAAAGCTTAAGGCTACGGGAAGATCGAAATTCGCAACCCGGCCGAGCGTTTTGAAATTGAAATGAACATTTAAGATAATCAGGTGCAGCCGGGTCGAACAAGATGGAGAAAAGAGTGGTTAAAAATCTTAAGGACCTGCGTTCACGGATAGGAAGCCAATTTAGTTGACGACGACAAGCAGATATATGGTCATACTTCCGCAGACCAAAAATAAACCTAATGCAGTTGTTAAGAAGACGATCTAATCTATTCAAAAAGACTTGAGAGATGTTACTGTAACACACGTCAGCATAATCAATCACAGGCAACACTAGAGCTTGAACAAGGAGAGTTTTGGTTTTAATTGGAAGAAAGTTGTTAAACCTGTATAGAGCTCTTAGTGTATCTGTAACCCTACGACAAACGTCAGACACCTGGGAATCCCACGTAAGGCCTGTGTCAATAATAAGCCCCAGGTTCTTTACCTGATTTGACAGAGGAATCACTACGTTCTCATACATTATTGGTGGCACGCACGACAGATCACAAGACGAAAAAAGGCGTGAGCTTCCAAGGATGATGGCTTGACACTTGGAAGGGTTGACATTGATACCAAACCTTTGGGACCCAACCGAGACGCGATGAAGGTCATCATTAATTAATACAATTGCATCACTTATGCCACCGACATTAACCTCGGTATAAAGCTGCAAGTCGTCGGCATCGGCATATAGGTGGTAAGAACATTTGATGCTGGACGTAATCAGATTTATGAAAAT